TGAGGCTGGAACACACACATGGATTGCTTACTACTGTCAGTTTATATTGACATATACACACGTACATCAGTGCCACAGTGAGAATCCCCTGATCGACAGGCAATACGGCAGAATCTTCCAAAGTAAGCTCTGATTTTCAGACACTGAATATTCAGCACTTCCAAAATTAGGAATAGGGAAGAAATCAAGCAATGGTATACAGCTACTCATTATTTTTTAAATATCCATGCTGTATGGTCAATTCTCATGATTCGTGGAACACCAAAACAAATTCCAAAACTGAGCACCTATAACCACCAGTGAGAAAAGTATAACACATGGGGTTTATTTTTTTAGGTACTTTATGCTAATGCAATGTATATGTTTGTTATCAGTACACTTTGGGACATAGCGTTAAAATAAACGAGCCCACAATAACTATACCCTTTAGGTTTTACAAATATTGCCAGTAGGTATAATGGTGCTTTGTTTGCCTGCATTTACTTCTCTGTTTTGTAAATACAAATATTTATTCAAGGCATCTGCTCAGTCAAGAGCTATGACTGCTGATACTTGCTCAGGTTTTCAGACCTGTGCACAGTAGAAACCCATCTAAATGATTGAGTATACAAATCGCCAGTCAGGTGCTTAATTCTTTACACATTTGTGATGATACACAGTCACTGAACCAGCACAAAGGTTAGATACCTGTACTTGAAAATCAGACCTGTGACCTGTTTAAATAGAATTTTACAGAAGAAAATGTAGAAAAATTCAGTTAGGCTATGTTACTTTTAGGTTCTGATTATTCTTATTGCTACTTGGAATTGTTTGGAAAACAAATACATTTTGCAATTAGACCCCTGATCTATGAAAGCACTTGAGCAACTGTATAATGGAGCATATGAGCAGTCACTTTAATGAAGTTACTACTTATATACATGAATTATCCACCCATTTTAAGTGATTTGCTGGATCAAAGACGTTCTGTTTCAGTTAGAGCAGCAGAGTTAAAGTAATGTAATAACTCCAGTTCAGAAAAAATAATAGTCCAAAGGTGGCTGTATCAATAAAGATATTCCCAGAGGGGAAGGAGAATAAATGATATCTGTAGTAAGCGCCCATATAACTACACTGCATCAAGTATAATTATCTGTTCAACTTTTTTTTACCTAGAAGATGAAAATAAACTTCATTTCAAACCTTGCAAGAAAACTCTGCACTACTTGGGTTTCTGAAGGGGCTGAAGACGTTAATGCTCCAGGAACTTACACAAAACCCACTATTTAAAATACCACTTCTACTTTTTAACCGAGGCAAACAGGGGACATTATACATCTCCAGCGTAGCCTATTGAAGTGTCGGAACAGCTCATTCAAAGCAATACATTCTCTTCTGAAAGATTTTAGTATTATAATTGAAAATTCTCTCCCTGAGATGCACCTGAGAAGCATTAACTTCTTGGTGACTTTAAGAACCAAATCCTTTAATACAAACCTAGCTTTTCCCACAGGCACTTGAAAATATTTAGCATTTTTTCTGTTGAATGCAATTTTCATAATAAAGTAGCTCACTCGGCTACCTGACACCACGGACAAAGACACTGAGTGAGCAGCTCCTGCCAACTTAGGCAGAGCATGATCACAACCCCTAGTTACATACGTAAGTCGGCTTTCAAATATCCAGTTGCTGGGACAATTCAAGTAATTTATGTATTATATGTCACTGTTATATATTTTATTATTTTTTTTAAATGTATTTTATTCCGTAATGTCCAGACACAACTCTTGCATACCCGATGTCTTTCAGTCAGCCTTAATGGAGAATAAAACAGATCTTAAATTCCTCTAACATTTAAATTCTACCTCTATGACCAGTTTCAGGACACCAAAGCAGCCATTTGCTATGCTAAAACCCAATTTGGATGCCTAATTTTAATTTCTGTGTTCTAGGGGCTGGCAATCAGAATTTGCTTAATATAATATCCCTTCTGCTACTGAGTAGATTCCTCCACACAAACACACACCCCTTTCTGAATGGCACTGGCTCATCAGTACTGATGCTGCTCCCTACTTTTAGTCAACTGTTCCTTTCAATTTCACTGGCAAACCCTGCAGAAAATGATGGGAATTAGGTGTATTTTGTCCTGTGCCAAAATACTCAGTCCAGTCTATCAAATCCAAAACATTTGTATTTAACTGCATCTCTGGCAGTTTCAAGGGTATCATTTTAAAACTACGGTATATTTTGTTAAATCAAGCCCTACAATGATCCTGTTTTACTTCCATCCACTTAGCCTATCAATGCAGACTAATACTGCACATTCTTGTGGCAGCAAAACCTAAAGTGTACCAGGAGAATACAGTGATAGATTACATGTACATGCTGTGTCATATCCAATTAACTCAAATTGACTGTGTACTGCATTATGCTGTTAGTGCATGGAAGATCAATAAATATGGAGAAAATCCAACGAGGCGCTCTCCATTCCCATCCAATTCTAGTAGGTCTGAGACAGATCATGCTCCTATGATGTGTATGCTGCTGCTGAAGAGGGCAGGTGGTGCATAGACACCATTCAAACTTGGCCTATTCAATCTAAACTCCTCTAACTCGCCATTCATGCATAGCAAAACACCATCTGGTCCTATTTTGCCTCCAGCAATCACAGCTGACCAAAAACGATAATAACAGCTGTTGCAAAACAAAAGCCAAACAAAGGGGGGAGGGAAAGGTTAGAATGAAGTCCAGTGCCGCAAAATACTCCATGAAGTGAGAAATGGAAAAGGAGCCATTCAAATAGCCAATCCCCATTGAAATGAGTCAGTGCAAGTCTTCTGGTTAAACTTGCGATATTTAATCCATCTGTCCTGCAAACCACAACGGTCAGGTGATAATATAAAATTGAGATTATGTTGCATAGAGGTATTTAAAGGCTTTGTTCTTCAAGTTTGAAACTAATGACCCTGTGTCAGCTAAAAATTAAACCTCCTTATGTTCTTTCATCATGTGTCAACCTGGGTTAATGTGAAAGTAGAATGCGGTTAACTGGGGTGATAAAGCATATTCCTTGGGAAAAGAAGGGAGCAGTTAAGTGCTTGTAAATGATATGAAGAAAAACATTCTTTAAACCGTGCACAACACTGAAATCATACAGATGCTGCATTTTTCCTGTATAAATGCATATTAAGTGTTTTAAATTAACAATGTTATTTATGACCTATGATAGCAAAGTTATTCACTTAGACTTAGGGAATATGAACACCAACTTGCACAGTTTGAAACACAAGATGTTCTGCAATATGCTATTGTGGGTAATATAAAATCTAATTTTGTAGCAAGCAGGGGGATGCTCTAGTTTTTCAAGATTCAGATTTTGGTATTTAGAATATACAGTCCTGCTTCATGATTAATTTTTTTTTAGCTGTAGTAATTAAAACTATTTTTCCTGGAATTGACCATCAGTAGTTCAGCAGCTCTTAATCAGATGTGATAAAACCCAGGATTTATGAAACCATTTAATGAGTGTAATAACACCTGCTTCTCGCTGCAAATAGTTGAAAACAGACTTCAGTTGTAATTAACTCTTATCACTAGTGACATTTTTCCAACGATACTTCATAGGTCTTCAAAATGACAATTATAGAACTAATACACAATTACTGTCACATGCAGTTTAGCAATTATTGCTGAAGACATTTGTCTAAAGGTTTCAAAACGACTATAAAATAGTTCCCTTTGTTATGTAACATTGGTTAAAACAGACAGACAAAAATCTCTCCCAACCAGGCTCTGCTGTGCCATTTCTAATGCAGACAGGCTTCCTCACGCTTGGAATAAACATGCTCCATCCCAGACATTATTAGATATCATACTAAGGCTATTAGTAGCATGGGTAGCTGTCAACTAACACCTATTATGAAAGGCTTCAATTTATACACGATTTTTTTCTACTCCAAGAAATCTATACATTTATAATTAGAATCTCTTGCTGTTCAATATTTGTACATAATAAACAGAGTACCTGAGGATGATGAAATATTGAAAGCTGAATTTATTATTAATAAACTCACACAGTGTAGTACCTCTTCCCTCAAGTCTGGCTGCAACTTTTGGGGGATCTATATTCCATTGTTTTTTGATTGTGGTCTGAGCATGGTAGCCATTGACACCTCCTCAAACGGGATTAGGATTCGGCTCAGGTTTGACACTTGCTGTTTTTAATTTTCATTTTATCATAAGCAGTTTGAGATTGTTGCCAGTGGTAATTTGCAATTTTTATCAAGACCTCTTCATTATAGCTTCTGACAGGACAGATGCTGTAATTAATCATGCAAGACAACTGGGGATAGTGGTCAGACTGCACTCGCAGCACAGATATTGCAGGCAAAGAAGGGAAAGAAGAAAATAAAGGATTTCTCCTCTCTGTCCAGAATAAAAATATATGAACAGCAGTAATAACCTGACAACAGATTGGATGTGAATGTTTCCAAATCCTTCATATGAGATACCTGCCCTCTCCATCCCCCCTCTATCATGTCCTACATTTATGATAAAATAAAAGTCAGACAAATCAGGATCAGCCCGAGTCAGAGTTGGGGGCTTATAGCCAAGAAGTAAACGCAGCTACTGCGCTAGGCATCTGAAACTCAAAGATACAAAGAAAACCACAATTTGTGCTTATTTGCATCTCCAAACACTACTGCTGAGAGACAGGTTCCCTATCCTGTTCCTGCAGATAAATGTAACACAGGCTACCACAAATGCTTTGTAACTCTACCACCTGCTTTCTCTCTCTGAAGTTGGAGAAAACTCAGAGAAGTTGTACGCAGAAAACTCTTCAGTAGTGCACCTTGATGGATACAAGAGCTGATCTCACTCTCAGTTCCAATTGGTACCTGTTTACCCAGTCTGATTGATAAAAATCCAAGTTGTTAAATAAATTTTCCACAAAAGTGTTTGCAAAAGGAAACAGGTCTTGTTTTTCTACCAAAGACTTATGGCTCATCATTTTTACTGAAATGTGTTTATTCTATAGCAAGATAAAAGCATTTATTTTAGATAAGCAAAATACAAACAACTTAATTGCTGCTATCATAACTCATAAAAAAGTATAAAACAGCATAAAAACACAATAAGCAATGTAGCAATTAATAATTCATGTTACCAGTGTTTACATTAAAGCCTCATTTATGAAAACTTTACAACACATGATATGAAAACTTACAACTTTTAAAGAAAATATTTACAGTGATTATTCAGTTGTGGAGTTTCATTTAAATATTCTACTGGTTTTACAGCATATTAAAAACTCTTGCATTTTTCATCTTAGCTTTCTGTATTAACAGTTTTATTTAAGTGCATTTCCCTTTTAAAAATACAGTGTATTAAATCTGAAACTCATCACTTTGACACAGAATATAATATTCACATTTGTTCTGTAACCGGAATTAACGTAAGAGGGTAAATGTCAATATATATTTTCTTACAAACTATGGCAAGTTTATTTGGAGAAATGAAGTGAAAGATTGGGTAAAACATTTAAGTTCAGTTACTTGCATTCGTTTTTCTGAAGACATTTAGGAGAGAAAAAAATTAAAGAGCTTTGGCAAAAATCTCGATTTTTTTCATGACAAAAAATGCCATCAACTAACTCATGTCATACAAGTATGATTGTATGAAATCCAATTATCATTTTACAGGTAGTTACAACTGTGCTTTAAGGGCTTCATGAGTTCATACTGCCTTGAAGTGTATTATTCACTTTTAGAGAAACAAGGGGTTATATCATATAATTCTGAAAGGCCATTTTGCAGTCATAAGGTCCAGGTATTTATTAGGCCATTTGATTCACATATTGTAGGTAAAGCTTAAATAAATTAAAAAGGCATCACATGGAAAGGAGCACAGCTTTTTTTTTTTTAAAAAAAAAAAAGATTTATAGTGAGCTAAAAGATGATACACAGCTACATTGTAGTTCTTTATTGCCTATCTAATAGACACTTTAGAGGATCATTTGATCTGTTATGCATCCCTGCATAACTACCATCAACAATTTACAGTTTTCAGCCAAATATGGTTTACCCCTACCCCCTCCACCAACACAAAGCCATGTTGCAAGACCATTTATCTTCAGAAAATACTGACCTGCGATAATACTTGAGTCTGTGTCTGAGACTGTATTTGTGACTGGTGCTGCTGAGGTGCTGGCTGAGGGCTCCCAATGGCAGGGATGGGAGAAGTGATCTGAGAGGCTACTGGAGAATGCTGCTGAGGAGAAGGCTGTGACTGGTGTTGCATATGCTGCATTTGCTGCTGCTGCATTTGCTGAAGCTGTATGTGCTGCAGTTGCTGTTGCATTTGCTGTTGATTAATTTGCTGCTGAAGATGCTGCTGCTGCTGCAAATGTTGTTGCATGTGGTGCTGAAAATGCTGCTGTTGCATTTGTTGTTGTATTTGCTGATGCATTTGATGCTGATGCAGTTGTTGCTGTTGCATCTGCTGCATCTGTTGCTGCTGGAGCTGCTGTATCTGGTGCTGCTGGCTTTGCATTGAGGGACTTACTTGAGATGAAGATGGTGTTGCCACCATATTTGTTCCCATAGAGCTTATCAATGGAGCTGCAATGTTTGTTGGCATGTTTGATGCAATGGTAACTGAAGCTACAATCTGATTCATCGGCAGTCTCATGGTTAAAGGTTTTGGAGCAATTGCTCTGGGAAGGGACTGTTGAAGAGTTTGAGGAGATGCTGATACTGTTGCATGTTGAGAAAGAGAAGTATTCAGAATAAGGGAGGAAGACAAATTTGTGGATGCCAACGTTTGCTGAACAGAACGAATCGTCTGGGCCTCAGCAGATTCTGCAGCAGCCTGTGTTTGGAAAAGAAATTAATTGCATTTTTAACAGAAAAAAACATTATTACCGTTACATGGAAAAAAAGTCACAGCTACTCAGGGAGACTTTTTTATCTTTTATTTTCTATCAGAAACGATCAATCAGCAGTCCAAAAAGAGCAGTGATTCACCAACCCATTACATTGCCTCCTCATTCATCTCTGTATACGGTACCTCCAGTTCTTACTTGGACAAAAAACTAACCCGTGCCCTTCTTCAACACCAGAAAGTCACAGATGTCAAGTGCATTTTGTGGCTGAAAGAGCTGAAAAGGGCCCAACACACTCTATATTTATATGTTTAAAAAAAAAAACCTGTTCTTTGGGAGACAAATCTGAGCAGAAGCATATCCCCCTGCACCAGTTATCACTGCATAAGGGTAGTGTGCAAACAACCAAACTTCTCAAAACAACTTTTTAATTTGCTTGTGGCAGTTCTTCGCATCTAAGGCACCAAGACCCAGGTACCTGCAACAGACAAAAGTCTAAGGGAACGGTGCCGAGGCACCCAACTGAATATACTGGAAGGGGTACAGCTGCATCTGTGGGGTGCCCTGCTTAGGAATCCTGCCTACTTCCAGTATCCTGGAGGTTCCTGATGGGGCACACCTGCGGGAAAAGTACAGTTCAAAGAGGGCTATTGCAATAAATGAGGTGTTCTGGTGCCTCTGAAGGCACAGTTTTATTAGGCATATTTAAAAATATTGTGTGTGCTTAAATTAGACATATTTAGGCACTAAAGGTAGGATTCCTCCTTCATACTTTTACACTTCTGCATTGTACATGACATGTAGAACAGTTGCCTAGAATCCCTGAATAAAGGCAATGGAGAGAAGAAGTCTCTTTCAGCACAATTAACTGACATGTTTTAGACATTTCACTTAGAATGTGTCAAACCGTGCTGCAGAAGTGCCTATTCCATCCCTACCCTCCACAACCACCTTGGATGAAAAAGCTACAGCAAGGATGTCTTAAGTTAGAGGACATGAGATGAATACTGGACTTGGAGTGTAATTTCCACTCACAGTCTTCCGACAAGTTACTCGGCAGGCCAGGTCCCAAGGATTTGGGGAGAAAATACGATTTCTGATGTATTTGAAAAGGGAACTTAGGACTGACAAAATAAAGTCCCTCAAAGGTATTTAGAATTCCAGCTGCCACTGAACTTAGCATCGTGATACTAAAGGCTTTGAGAATATTATCTAAGTCCTAGAGGCAATAGAAAAATGCAGCTTCTCAACAGAAGAAATCTTCCAGCTTTTATGAATGCATGTGTATAATTTCTGTTGTTGTATTTTTAATCATTAATTAAAATACACAGCAACTTTCTGTGTGACTTCCTAATGCTTTTCAGTTGTACATTCAAACAAATATTCTCAGAAGTTAGATATCATCACTTTCTTCTGTTGCTTTCTTGTGATAGAATATATTTTTGTAATTGAACTTTATGAAATACTATTAGAGAAATAACCATCTTGATTAATTTTTACCCATATTTTAGATGTCCGTAAGTATATTTCCATTTATGGTATTCAGATGCACCAGATCTACAACCAGTGTAGTGCTGCTGATTAGAAAGGTAAATTCTCAAATAAGACAGAAGAGCTTTGTTTTCTTCACAAGTTTTATTTTAACTCAGGATCCACTAAAATACTCCATGTGGCTTACTGCCAGCTAGTCCATTTGTAAGTACTCTCCAAATTCAGAGCCACCACGTATTTTTTCCCCTCACCTGCAAGAAATACTTAAGCTTTGTCATACAACAACTGCTCTCCAACTCCACGCAAAGCAAGTCTTGTCTTTCGAGAAGCAGCACTTAAGGGAAAACAAAATTCTGCAAATAGCTTGCAAATGTTAATGTCAAAAGGTCAGTATATTTTTCATGACTGAATTTTACTTTTGTAGTGAAGTGCATTATTTTGCCTCCATAGATAAAGGAAGATGTACATTTACAAAGTTATTGTTTGGTAATCATTACTGTGCCATTAGAGAGAAAATTTTTTTTCAGAGACTAAGCAGAGTTCAAGCAGCAGGACAACATATTGTAGAGCACAAACCCTCAGATTCTACTTTTATTTTGCGTAATACCACACACACATACACACCCCCCCCAATATTTAAGCACCATTGCCAAAAGCTAACTTGCATTACACTGAAGGCATTATTAGGCTTACCTTAGAAACAAGGCTTGCTCTATAGGCAGCAAGAGCCTTTAGGTATTCTTTTTTGGCAGCTTCAGTTTTTCTTTTATATACCTATTGAAAGAGATCACAATTTCATGAGCTTCAGTTATTAAGGCTTTTTTGCCAGAATGCTCTCACAATGACTTGCAAAGAAAAAAAACCAACAAACCCACAGACAAAAAAAACCTGAAAACACTCTACTGTTAGACATGTTTTTAGTTCCCTGAAAGATCTAAATATTCTTGCAGGTGGTTACAGACTTTCAGGTCTATTCACTGGACTTGCACCACAATTTATGTTGATTTACTGTGAATAAAAAAAGCTGTTAGAGCAGCCAACTGTTTGACAAGACTACCTATGCACACTTTACCTCCCCGGGTATTAATATTAATTAAATATTTTAATGTCTCTAAGTAACAGGGATATTAGGACACTGAGTATTTCAGATGCTAAAAAGTATCTGCAGTAATATAAAATAGCAAAAAATGCCTATGCAATGGGTTTTTTTTTTTTACACAAACATTTGAATTTCATATGAAAGAAAATCTTTATACCTTTAGAAAAGGTGGTTCATACAGCTTGGACAATTCACCTTCCCCAAAGCCAGTATGAGAGAATCCCATTGAGTTAAACAAGAACAGTTAGGCAAAAATTAATTGTTCTGTATTTCTTAATCATCAGTAAATTTAAAGTTCACCTTTAAATCATGTTCACACTCATCTGTTAGATCAGACTAAAAGTTTCCAAATGTATTTCACTAATGAGTCTCATTCATATCTTGCCAGAAGGCATCCTGTACAGGAATCTACTCTTCCATCGCACCTTCCATTAACTGTTACTGGGAGCTGCACGGAGTATCAACAGGCAAACAGCCTCAATGGATTGAAAGGATTTTCTTTCTTCAATTCATGTGTAGGTATAGAAAGAATAACAACCCTCAAGGAAGAACAAAACATTCTGTACCAAGTTTGAGCTGGAGATAACATTTCACACACACCATTGTAGTAAAGCACAAAGGATTGTCTTCAAAGGTTGGAAATCAACATGCTTTGTAACAAATTCATAAGGCAGATCAAAGGAAAATGGTAAATGTACTGTACCTTCCCCTTTTCTCTTCTAACTTCTGATTAATAGGAAACCAGGGCTTTGAAACAGGAATCATCAAAAGATGGTCTTAACAAGACTCTAGGACAGTATTACCAGAGCTTTTTTACAAACTGCCCTTTAAAATTTAAAGACAAATACAGCCATTTAATACTACCTACTCGCTCTTATAACAAAATGCTTTTTTTGATGCCATGTCTTCAGCGAGTTCAAAAAAATCAGTTTACCCTACAGAATAAGGGGTCTACATCAGCAAGTAGCGTGGTCCACTCAGAGCAGAGGTAGGAGGACTTTTTACAAGGATTCCTATTTTAGTTTTTGTGAGACAACCCTGCAACAATTTTTTACCTGTTTTTGTTCTTCTCCTAAACTGTCCCACATAGATGCCACTATTTTTGAAACCTCTCCAAATGTAGCATTTGGGTTCTGCCCTTTAATTGCAGCTTGTGTATCCCTGAAGAAAAGGGCATATGCTGACACTGGCTTTTGTGGCTCATTGGGATCTTTCTTTTTCTTCTTCTTTGGAGTCTTGGGCTTCTTTCCAGAATCTGGGGCAGCTCTTTTTTCTCCACTAGCCTTGAGAAACAGTAATAACAAGAACAGTCAATATATGCATGAAATATGTTAGATAAAATAAAAAAAATTATTGTCAGTCTGGCTTAGTAAAATATGGATAGAGCTACTATGTAGGCAACATTTTGGAGAGTCCTGTTGTACAAGCCTTTCTCCTACCAAATAGTACTTAGCCTCGGCTTAAACTCATCAGATCTACTGGAACTAAATGCGTGAATAGTTACTACTCATTGTAAGCATGGCTCAGAGAGTCAAATCCTATGAGTTTGACCTGAAAAAGTACACTCCAACGCTCATTTGTATTTAAAAAAAAAAAAAGATGTAATCTATAGTATATTTTGAATATGCAATCTATGTTTTTCCATTAAGATGTAGTTTCAGCAGTAGAGACTCAAAAGACAAGAGCTTGGAGGCATTTCCTGATTCCCAGATTTAGACTGTCAACTCAGCCATGGGTCAGGGGTTAACAAGCCCACCCTTCAGGCAAAAAGCAGTGGTAACTCTGCAGTTTCTATCCACCTGCAGCGAACACTCACCATGTCCACTACCCACCTCCATGGCTCCTTGTGCAGGTCAGGTGCCTGTGCAGCTGCACCAGGCGCTCTGGGTACTGCCAGGCACCAGTCCTGCACCCACAGCTGCCTCTGGGCTGAGGAATGCCCAGAGCAGCACTACTGGGATTACAGGTAACTCTGGTCCCTGGGTGCACCTTGTGTCCTGTACCGTCTTTTGTTCAACGACGCACAGATTATTGCAACAAGGGGATAAAGTGGCTCTAAATAGACCTCTATGATAGTCATTTTACTTCGATATTTTGAGGGTCCTGTACAATGATGTTTCCGTAGGCACAATCTCCATTAACTTAATGAGAAAACGTTTCATGGAACAGTCTAAATTAGGCTTTTTAAATATACCACTATAACAACATTTGTGCTTTATTATTTTGTTGATAAAATTTTCCTTTTAGAACAGATTTATTTAAAGGAAAATGTAAATTAACCAAACTTTCAGTTAGAAGAAAGCTTATTTGATATCTATCTAAATGCATCTATGTTTTATACAACTCCAGAGAATACAGAAATGACAAAACAGTCCAAAGTTGATGAGTAAAAAGATTTACCAGATCTATAAAATCCAAAATGAATTATGAATGTATTAGGCAAAATATATATATGTGTGTGCGTATATTCTTATGTTTATTATTATGGAGGTATTATGAAAACTTCTTAAGTAAAGAAGCTAAACAGCAAATGAAACATATTCCACTATACTGTAACATTCGTATTTTATACGACACATTGCAGCTGAGATGATACTGCCACATTCATGAAATATAGCATATAGACATGAAAGCTTACTCACTACAGTGCATGGAATAACTTACTCTATTTGATTCATCTGCATCTTCTTCATTTATAGAGCTGGATGGGGAAGGAGTGGCTGATTTACTCGCAGGAGGGGACGGAGAAGTGTGTGGCAAATTAGTGCCTCCTAAATTTAGCCCCAGCTGCGCACTTAGCTGAGACTGGTTAATGGTGGTTAGCTGAGAAGGAGGCATAATTCCTGAATGAGCAGCATCAGTCATATGGACAATAGATCTCATAATCAGAGAGTGATCCTGGCGATACTGGGAAATTTGTGTGTGACTCTGATCCTAAAAGAGATTGAAACATCGTTTAGTCATTAGCAGTTACCCTAGAGCATTAGCAGGTAAAGTTATTTTCACAGGCTTACAGAACTGACACTATCAACTTGCCGCTTGTTGCGCTTCTTTTTAATAAATGAAATGCATTTTTAATAAATTAAATGCAGCAACAGCTACCACACTTGCTCCAGACTTCACTCCTCCCCCACTTGGGGGTGGAATTTTTGTGGAATAAAAATTGCATTTCCCCATTTTAAAACATTTCTTCTCTTGATGCGGTGTGAAATACCCACATAAACAACAGGGAAACAGGCTGACTGTTGATACAGGGAAAACGTTGCAACTGAGAAGACACAAACTGCTGCCAAATGCAGAAAGTAAACAAAAGCAGGGAGATATATATATATAGAGAGAAAAGCACCTTCCTTCACTGACATTCAATTATTCTTAGCTGTTACTAGTAACAGTAGTAGGTATAAAACAATCCTGGCTGAGTGGGATTTTAAAGTTGTTTTAAATAAAGAACACTGCCTTGCCAGGTCTTGAGTGCAGACACTGCAGCACGCTGGAGAATCCTAATTACTCCTAAAAATCCTTGTTCGCAAGTACGACACAAAATTACACATTTTTATCTTTAATCCAGCAATCAAACACATGTGGCAGTAGCAAGCTAGGTACCAATCACTGACTTAATTCTTCTTGTACTTCATGCCTCAGAAGCTAAAGTGCTTGCATGGTTTTGTTTCTACTGTTTCTTGAGGGCACAAACTATGTCGTCTTCTACGTCTGCACAACACTTACCACACTTGGAAATAAAAAGAAGCGAGACCCTGAAGGTAAAGTCAACTGGAATCTGCCTATGAACAACTCAGTTTCTTATTTTTAACCACACACGGATCAATACACAATGAAGGAACATTTAAAGAGAAAAGATTTTTAAAACAGTTAATAAATGAAGAGAATAAATAGCTCACAAATTGATTCAGCAACCTGATTAATCTATAGCCATTGTTTAAACAGACAGAAACACAAGAAATAAATTAGATTTTGGAAACTCTTTCATTATTAATAACCTACACCGCAATTAGTAGCAGGTGCAATGATCCTTAATGAAATGACACAGAAGAAAACAGCAATGCTGGGAGCGTAGCGTACAGTCCACCAGACTTCCACAAGGGAGTCTGACCTTCCCAGTGCTCTCTTATTTAGTGTGGATGAGCCCAAATGAGTTTTCAAAAACCTGTGTCAGCATGGAGGTAAGTTTAGCCCAAGTGACTTTCCTCTTACTTTTACAACCCTTCCCTCAACAGAGGCAGTGGTGCTCCTGAAAGCCTTTTCTTGGATGGGACAAATGCAGCCATACAAAGAAGCAATACGGGTGTTAGAGAAGGTGCACACGCTGCCTCATCCATCTTACGTACAAGTGCTGCAGCACACTGCTCCCCTATGACAATAAATCATATTAATTCTGAATTTGGCACTCAAGTGTCTCTCTGTTGAAGACTATGCAGAAAAAAATAATCCTTCTTCGCATAAAAGTACATACAGTGTTGCATCTGGATGCAGTACAGATGAAGTTAAACCCACAAGCTCATGATCCAGATCCTATATACTAGGTCTCACCTTCATTTTCCCCCATGCTTTCCAAGCCATTCCCAGCTTGGCCCATCACCCATACCATACCATGCTGCTTTCCCTATTTCTTAAATTCTTTTAATATTTCAAGTAAAGGAGTGTAGTTCCTTAGAGATGAATGCACGTGTCAAAAGTGGAGCACTCGATACAGAAAGATCAAAACATTAGACTTATTGGCTGAAATACCCACTTGCTTCAGGGCACCTTTCTGTGAAAATTTATTACTGTTAACTATAGGGTCATTTTGATTAACTTGTATTGGCAATGGCATCTGGAAGTCATTCAGTGTCTTTTGTAAAAGGCTATCACTTTCTGCATATTACTCCACTCATTTTAGTTTACAGACATTACTTTATTGCATGAAGAAAATCCTTGCTGTTAAAGCAAAGGTAGAGACCATGAGAATGACCTTCTCTCATAGAAATTAGCTTTCTTCATTACTTTGCAGGCACTACTTTCTTGGAGGTGTTCTAGACTTAAAAGGCTAGCTTTTGTTCTCTCTTTATTGTTACACAATACTGTCCTTTCTGGCCTTTACACCAAGGCAACAAAATGTGATGACACGGGTTACAAACCATTTACTCCAAGTCTTGTCATTTCGGTTGCATCTATGATTTTACTGAGACTAAATTCTCTTGACTTGCACTGACCCAGAATCTAATTTTATACACAAGCCCATGAATTCTTAACTGTCCCTTTTTCTGACAGTATTTGATGCTTGTGTGGTTTTTTTACATCCACTTATTTAATTTCAGTTTTTCTTTTCTGTATCTTTTCCTAAATTTTTTAAGCTCTTTTTTCAATCTTACAAACTTCAGTAAAAGCTAGAAGTCGAAACAGTTTGTAACTGGTTATTTAGCACCAGATAAAACATGCTATAGAAAAGAAAATATTTTGTTTCATTTCCAATCTCTTACCATTAGCATAGTATATGCCTATGACAACAACACACAATATATTTTCTACACTTTGAATTTAAGTTATATGGCTAATCAATATTAAGAAAAAAATCACAAAGAAAGGAATGGGAATTTCATTTTTTTACTTTGTGGTACAGTGTTGTGGGCCTCAACAACCTATGGTACCTACAGAAGAGCTTTCAGACAAGGAAGCATAAACCATTGTCTATGTTAGTACAATAGTAGTTTGACAAGTAGCAGGAAGGTAGGGGATCTAGTCAATAGCAACATTAAAGTCCACAGCATTTGTACATAGCCCCTGAGCAAACAAAATATTCTAAGGAGGAATCTACAATCAGGATGACAAAATTTCCATCAATTATTTTCCCCCTATACTACAGAGACCAATACTGAACCAAAAGGATCAGTAACATATCCAAGAAATGTTTAACAATGAAAATCATCTTGTATCAGGAGCACACATGGAAATACAAGTGCACTAAAACATCCACGTGACACCCTAATTACATTACTACAAAAAATTGTAGTAATTCATGTGTTCAAAACAATCCACTGAGAATACTGTGAAAATTTTAAAGAATATCACAATCTCTTTCACACAAACTTAACCAGAAGTAAAAGTGATACACAAGTATTAAGAACATTCAGGATTTTTGTAACATTATACAAAACAGACAGATTAGTTCTGACAAAAATTCATGAACTTCTCAAGTGGACAGAATCAAGTTTTGATTAAGCCTGATCTGCTTTACAGTCTTGGACTGAAGCTAGGCAACACTTGGTGATTTTAACATAAGTTAGGCAAACTCAACCACTGGTTTACTCAGCATGACAATCAAACAAGGATATACTGCGTGAAACGGAAAACCGGAGAGAAATAACTTGTATGATTCCTCTGCAGACTGAAATGACTTTGTCTCAGATCTCTCTGTTGATATCCTATGTGAGTGCTACAAAAAACCTAAGGTATAGAGACATTTACTGAGGGGAATGCCAGCCACTCCTCTGGTTTCTTCATTTATACACACAGATAAAAAAGCAAAATATGGTCCAATATGTTTCCCCTTTCTCAAAACAACTTTATGATGACTGTTATCTAGGCACATTGGCTTTCTGTCACCACTCTCTTGCACAGCTCCAATAGCACACATTATAAAGACACTGAGCACTTGATGCATAGGTCTCATCAAAGGAACCATGAGGATATCCATCCAAACTATCCTACTCTCAACTATCCTAATATATTTAAACAGTCATGCCAAAGAAGTCATATTTAGTCATATTACCAAAGGACACACATATCACAGCACATGCCAAACGTAGTGCTTATTTTACTTTGAGCTGTAAAAGTATAAGTTCTCAAAAATTGATAAAATATTGGTTCTTCAACAGCCACTGGAAAGCAAACCACAGAGTAGGGAGACTTAAAAAAAAAAGCAACGTGTGAATTCCCACACACTAATTTATGCAGTATTAGCAAAGGTTTTTTTCAACAATTACTATACCTGAACCAGCAAAACATACCATTGAGTACTAAAGGAAAAATTAAGGTAATAAAAGATAGTTTGTTCTTCTGTTATTAACTCATTAAGCATCCAGTAGTTAATAATAGCTAGTAATAAAGCTAGCATTTATTTTGACAGATAAATGCATCCAGCCATTACATCTAGAGATGACCTAATTTCCACTTACCCTGTATTTTGAGTCATTTACGTACAGTAGATTTATCCTCAATTTCTACTCCGATATAATTTTAGTCTCTAGGAACATTTAACATGATATTTAAAAATGTAACTAGGAAATAACTTTTCACAACATACAGAGTATTACTCAAGTCTTTATCAAAGTCATTGTCTACAGCCTTCAATCATTTAAATGGGCAACACCTCCAGTAAGACCCTTTCCAATCACCTCAGATCTGAGCCCATGGAAGCACCTACAGGAAGATGTAGGGCTGGGACCTGATCCTGTACTGCATGAGCTAGTTTTTAAGGAAAGTGAGAAATCTGCCAACAAAAATAACTATGGAAAACCCAACGTTTATGGTTATGCTTACCGTGCCCTGGTTTCAGAAGCTGACTTAAAACATTATGTAGTCTGTTGCCTCAGGAATTCGTCACTGTCAATGTAACAGAAGCTGATGTAATATTTTAAAGGATATATTTAAGTTGAAGTAAATGCACCGCAATGTAAAGAGTGAAATCTGCAGTTGTCTCTGTCTGTAAATTACTCCCTTCACTTTTGGGCAAGTCAGAATATCTCTAGAAGAATCCTCAACATGCTTTTTCTCCACAAGTAAAACATAGATAAAAGAATCCATTAATCTAAATTTTTACAAGATTGGAATTCACTACCAATCAAAACAAAGCAAACCAACAGGATGCTTTTCTCTGTCAGAGATTAAATCCTCACTTAATAGAATACAAAATAGTTGCACTTGGTACTGCCACCACT